TCTCGTTCTCTTTCTATTGTTTAGTATGTTGTTGTCTGTCTCCTTCCCTCTCGTTCTGTCTCGCTGTGGGGGGCCGTTCACCATCCTTCGTTATCCCTCGCCACCCCGCGCATTTTCTCCTCCTCCTGTCATCGTCATCCTCCTCCTCGTCCTCCTCGTCTTCCTGCTTCTTTCCTTCCTCCGCCTCATTCCGCTTCTCATCATCGTCTTCTTCCTGTCTCGTTCTCTCTCCCTCCTCCGCCTCGTCCCTCTCCTCCTCTCGTCGTCCTCCTCTTCCTCGTGCCTCTCTTTTCCATTCCTCCCTCCCTCCATCCATCCCTCCTCGTCGTTCTTCTCCTCAACCTCATCATGTGTCTCCTTTATCGTTCCCCCTAAACGTTTGATACGTCAGTCCGCTATGTTCAAGAGGCGTCAGGGGTAGGGAGCAAACAGTGGACAGGCCCCGAACCTTGCCTTGCCAAATGCGATGAACCCTTTCTCCTCATCCTCATCCTCCTTCTCCTCCTCCTCCTCCTTCTGCTCCTCCTCCTCCTCCTCCTCCTGCCCTCCTCCTCCTCGTCCTCCTCCTCCTCCTCCTATCCTCCCTCCCTCCCCCCCGCTCCTCGTCGTCGTGGTCCTCCCGCCCTCCCTTTCTCATCCCGCCTGTCCTTTGGCATCGTTCGGACGTGTGCTTCTTCTCTTCTGCGGGAACCACGGAGGTGTGTTTCGGGCCATCCAGCGGAGACAGTGTGGGAAAAAAACACGAACGCAAATACATGCATACATTGAAATAACATAGTTATTAATACAATCAATGACGTTAATTATAGTAGTAATAATTGTATTACGAATTACAATGATAATATTAACACAATGCTGTTATTAATGATGATACTACGATTAATTATTAATACATAATAACAATGCTGGTGATACCACTACTACTATTACTACTACTACTACTACTACTACTACTACTACTACTACTACTACTACTACTACTACTACTACGGCTACTACGACTACTACGACTACGACTACTACTACTACTACTACTACTACTACTACTTTTACTTCTTCTACTACTACTACTACTACTACTACTACGACTACTACTACTACTACTACTACTACTACTACTACTACTACTATTACTACTACTACCACTACCACTACCACTACCACTACCACTACCACTACCACTAGTATTATTATTATTTCTACGACTACTACTACCACCACTACTACTTCTATTACGACGACTACTACTACTACTTGTAATAATAATAGGTCTAACAAGAGTGATAATTGTAACAATGATAATAACAGCAATCATCATAACAATAATAGTGTTACGAATACTAGTAATAATAGTACTAATAAGCATCATCATCAGCAGCATCATCATAATAATGCTACTCATGCGAATCATATTAGTAGCAATAATACTAATAAAAATGATAGTAATAACCACAATAATAATAAACATTAGCCTGGCGAAGGACCCAACCATATGCAGCTGCGAGTACCGCACGGATATGAGACGAAGGAGGGGGCACGCAAACTAGGCACCTCTTCTCATAGGCACCGCGCCACTGGGGCCTTCGGTGGAGCTCCCTATGGGGCCACGAAACGTGTGAAGGGTGTGCCGAAATGGGTGGTGGGGAGGCATGCGGACCCTGCCACTGGGGCCTTCGGTGGAGCTCCCTATGGGGCCACGAAACGTGTGAGGGGTGTGCCGAAATGGGTGGTGGGGAGCATGCGAACGCAGCCACTGGGGCCTTCGGTGGAGCTCCCTATGGGGCCACGAAACGTGTGAGGGGTGTGCCGAAATGGGTGGTGGGGACGCATGCGAACGCAACCACTGGGGCCCCTTCGGTGGAGCCCCCTATGGGGCCACGAAACGTGTGAGGGGTGGGCCGAAATGGGCGAGGGGCGGCATGCCAACTCTGCCACTGGGGCCTTCGGTGGAGCTCATTATGGGGCCACGAAACGTGTCAAGGGTGTGTCGACATGGGTGGCGCGGACGCATGCGAACCCTGCCACTGGGGCCGTCGGTGGAACTCCCAATGGGGCCACGAAACGTGTGAGGGGTGTGCAAAAGTGGGTGGGGGCGGCATGCGAACCCTGCCACGGGGGCCTTCGGTAGAGCACCCTATGGGGCCACGAAATGCGTGAGGGGTGTGCCAAAGTGGGGTGGGGGCGGCATGCGAACCCTGCCACTGGGGCCGTCGGTGGAGCTCCCTATGGGGCCACGAAACGTGTGAGGGGTGTGCCAAAGTGAGATGGGGGCGGCATGCGAACCCTGCCACGGGGCCTTCGGTGGAGCTCCCTATGAGGCCACGAAACGTGTGAGGGGTGTGCCAAAGTGGGGCGGGGGCGGCATGCGAACCCTGCCACTGGGGCCTTCGGTGGAGCTACCTATGGGGCCACGAAACGCGTGAGGGGTGTGCCAAAGTGAGGTGGGGGCGGCATGCGAACCCTGCCACTGGGGCCTTCGGTGGAGCTACCTATGGGGCCACGAAATGCGTGAGGGGTGTGCCAAAGTGGGGTGGGGGCGGCATGCGAACCCTGCCACTGGGGCCTTCGGTGGAGCTCCTATGGGGCCACGAAACGTGTGAGGGGTGTGCCAAAGTGAGGTGGGGGCGGCATGCGAACCCTGCCACTGGGGCCTTCGGTGGAGCTACCTATGGGGCCACGAAACGTGTGAGGGGTGTGCCAAAGTGGGGTGGGGGCGGCATGCGAACCCTGCCACTGGGGCCTTCGGTGGAGCTCCCTATGGGGCCACGAAACGTGTGAGGGGTGTGCCAAAGTGGGGTGGGGGCGGCATGCGAACCCTGCCACTGGGGCCTTCGGTGGAGCTCCCTATGGGGCCACGAAACGTGTGAGGGGTGTGCGGAAATGGGAACTAATGGCGATGGCGATGATGATGATGATGATGATGATGATGATGATGATGATGATGATGATGATGATGATGATGATGATGATGATGATGATGATGATGATGATGATGATGATGATGATGATGATGATGATGATGCTGGTGATGATGACGATGATGATGCTGGTGGTGATGATGACAGGATGGTTGGGAACTAATGGCGATGGCGATGATGATGACGATGATGATGCTGGTGTGATGATGACGATGATGAATGAGATGATGATGATGATGATGATGATGATGATGATGATGATGATGATGATGATGATGATGATGATGATGATGACGATGACGATGACGATGATGATGATGATGATGATGATGATGATGATGATGATGATGATGATGATGATGAAGATGAAGATGAGGATGATGATGATGATGATGATGATGATGATGATGATGAAGATGAGGATGATGACGGCGATGGGAGGAGGGAGGAGGGGGGAGAGGAGGAGGAGGAGAGGAGAGGAGAGGAGACGCGGGGCGCTGTCTCTTCAAAACGAGGACCCAACACCACAGGATGGTTGGGAAAAAACAATAACAATAACACGCACGGGGAAAGGACGTCCGAGTGATGGCGAGGTCCTCCCGCCCTTGCCCTCCCCCCCCTCCTCCCCCTGCTTTTCTCCGCCCCTCTTCGGAGTCCCCCACCTCTTCCCTCCTGCCCTCGCCCTCCTACCCCCCTGCCTGGGGCGGCCCGACGTGCACAACCTGGGCTCCGGCTTGACCTCGGCGGCGAGCGGGGGGGGGGAAGCGAGAAGAAGGCCGCTGCGCCCAAAACATGGCGGCGGAGCTTCTCAGAAACCATCTGGCCTTCTGGGGAGTTTTCTGCGTCTTCGGGGAAGGCTTGGAATGCTTTTCAGAGGGCTGGAGGACTTCCGAGTCTTCGAGAAGGCCCGCCCCTTCCCATTTCCTCCCAGGCGCGCCGCCGATAACCGCCGTACTCTCGCGGCGCCGCCCTCTTGGACGCTCGTCGCGGCGCCCCGCCTCACCCCGGTGCCCTCCCCCTCCAAGACGCGTATCCTCCCTGAGGGGGATCCAGGCGCAGCAAAACAAACGCAAGGTGGACTTGAAGGCCTTCCTGTGGAGACCCATGCCAAGAAACACCCTGCTCACCTCCAGGGTGCCCTGGGCTTCTTGGGTTTCGATGGTTTTGCCATGGAAAGCGTGGCGCTCCCACACCAAAAATCAGTGGACGTCCTGGGGTCTCAGGGTTGGGCTTCTTGTGGAAGGTTTCTTGTGGAAGGGCCCCCAATGTACGGCCAGCGCCGCCGACCCTGAAGGGTGACGACGACCACGACGGCGGCGGCGACGACGCCGCTGACGTGCGGCGGAGTCCTCGGTGACGCTTCGCGGGGCTTCTTCGGAGCGCGCCCGCAGGCCTCTGGGGGGCAGTTTCGGGGCATCTCGGGAGGCCGTGTTTTTTTCCGGAGGGCTTCTCGGGGGCGAGCCCGCCGGCCTCGACGTGAGCATTTTGGCGATGGCTGTGGTCCGTGTGGCCGCCCCGGGGCGCCACATCGACCACGGCCAGTACTGAGCTGGCTTCGGTGTTCCAACGACTGCTGGCATGCAGAAGACATCCCCCAGGATGCGTCCTCGTGGCGCTCTTCGCTCGAGTGCCCCACCTCGCTCCCGGTGCATCCCACCGCTTGCTGGCCAGCGTTTGACTGCCCCTTCACCACTTGGCGCCCGCGGACTTACACAAAGTGTCCTCGTGCTTGTGGTCGCCTGCTGTCCCCGCAGAGGAGGAGGAGGGGTAGGAGGAGGAGGTTGAGGAGGAGGTTGAGGAGGAGGAGGAGGAGGAGAAGAGGAGGAGCAGAGGAGGAGGGGGAGGAGGAGGAGGAGGAGGAGGAGGAGGAGGAGGAGGAGGAGGAGGAGCTCCTCCTCAAGGAGGATGCGTCTCCTACTCCCTTGTAGGAGCTGGCCTCCCCTGGGCTTGGGGGGAGGCAGGAAACCAGGGGGCGCGTGTGGCGCAGCCATTGTGCCCTCTGGCACCAAGGGGGGGGATCCGCCCCCCTTCGCGGGTAGCGAGGGAGCATGCTCCATGATCCATTGCCTCTTGCCCTCGAAGGAGCTGCTCACTACAGCCGCGGCCCTCCCGGAAGGCTACGTGGACGACGGCGAAGCGCATTGA